GAAAAAAAAAAATCAACTTCCCCCAGCAGAATGGCCTTTATCGCTCTCAATCCCAACAGCATTTGAACGAGCCCTCGTGTTTGAGAAATGTTTTGCCTACAATATGATGCACATTCAACCAATATAAAGAAAACTATAATGTACCGCCTGTTCTGAAGGCGATGCAAGCTTGAGGAAAATAAAAAAATAAATAAACCTCCTGCAGAGATTCATTTAATGGTCTGCTCAAGAGAGGAGGCATCAGATCTTTAAGAGAAAAAAATTGCGTTCCATTGTCTTTCTTTATTCTTTTTCTGGTTAGGTCAATCATACTTCGCAAAATTAATTGAAACAAACTGCGCTTTTTTAAAATGTTTATCATACGTGATCCATGGTGCAAATGAATAAAAACAAATGAAGTTTAGGAGCTCATAAATGCAATGCCAGATGGGCGAATTCCCGGTTCAGTCATATTTCTGGTGAATTTAGTTTTACAGATTTTTCTTTGAAGCGATACAAAATTTCATTTACAGATCTCATTCTCTGGTATGCTTTGTAACACAATTGTAGCTATGTTTTCTCACAAAATGAGATCTTTGAAAAACCCTTTTGGACGACTATTGGCTAGCCAAGCTACGGGAGAAGCTTTGTTATGTGCGACCTTTGCGTTTTATTGGTCTCCAATGGTCTTTTTGTAAGTTGATAACTTTTCCTACTGCAAGTAAGCTATTTGTAGCTTATGATGGAGTTCCTCTATAGCTAAATAAATATTAAAACTAGTATTAAGTTTTAGTGATTACGTATATTTTTAGCGACGTTTCTTTTATGAAAGAACGGTCAAACCTAGCCGGCATTGCTCTCCTTATTTTCTATGATATTTGCACCTTCTCTCATCTATTTATAGCCCTTAACAGGATGTGTGCCATTTGTATGCCGTTGAGGTATAGCACTATCTTTAGGTAAGCTGTTAAGTACGCGATTCTCTCATCCTTATTGGTAAAAGGCAGAGTCTACTTAAGACTTGATATAATTTACATTGTTTATAACATGTGAGTTATCTTCAAAAAAATATAAAAACGAATATTTCCCCCCGTCCCTGGTTTATTCCAACAATGCAAAAATTTCTAAGCTTTTAGCAATCTAATAAAAAAAATAAATGATAATATAGCTTAATATACCGCTCATGTATTGGCAAATTTTCCATTAACATGCAGGTGATTTCCAACAATAATATTCTACTAGACTTTAATGAGTATTACCACGAAAGAAGATGACCATATAATATATTAACTCTGCAATATTTGTATGCATTTAACTAAATGGAAATACAATAGCAGCCATACGTTTTCCGAAGAAAAAAAACGTGACTTCTCGTAGAAATCCATCGCAGGGCGTCGCATCGTCATAACTTCTTCATCTTCGCAGGAAAGAAATTGTCAAAAGGAAGAGTGGTATTAGACTTAGCTTGTCCAGACGAATCTTCTGATATGTCACACCATCGCAGCATCTGAGTTATACGGTAAGAAGTCAACATCGCGACAAGGAAAAAATTTTTCATTTATCAAGATAACGCCTTACGAAGATACGGTACGTATACAATGGGAGATCAATGCGCATTAGTCCAAATCATCGCCCACTGGGGTTGATATGCTATTCATAAAGAAGCTTACTCACCATACATACTGGTGCTCTACTTTGAAGATATAATCGTGAACTACCCTTTCCTAATGCAATTCATCCCTTATCATTTTTTGGCCTATCGAGGAAAAAATTACGTACATTTCCTTACCGGCAACCATACCTTTTTGCGGAATTTTAGCCAAGCTACTTGACAGCAATAACATTAAAGTTCTTCTATGAACGTTTGATTCTAGACGTTGCTGATATTTTCTGCATACCATATCAAGCCTCTTTTTCACGCATATTTATACGGGCCTACGGCTTGACTTGCGTACCTATCGTATCTTCACAATAAGGCGCTACCGTGTGGCGCTGATAGTCATTGCATATCAAATGAGCATAGTAGGCCTTATTTAGGCAGTCCGTAATCTTGATCTTTGGACTGACCGTAATCTTGCAGTAAGGCCTTACCGGGTGAAGCTGATCTAATACTCGAAGTCAGCGTAAGTAACCCTATTAGGCAAAGTCTCAGCGAGATCTGAAGTCTTGGCATTTTGGGTCAAAAATTGGCATACTATTAGTGAGTATGATTGCATGACGTCATAGATTGTTCAATATTCTCCTCTAGAGTTTTGAAGATCTCGTATTTCAGCGAAACTTCTCCTAGTGTAGCTTTAGGGTGCTGATCGTGCAGATCTTATTAGTTTGTACAGTAGTGCTTGTAAAGCGACCCGTAACATGAAGCTCTTCACGATATAGCTACCGTAACCTATAGTAAGACTGAAAACTACTGAGATTATTTGACACTTTGATTATAAATACCTACCCGTCTGCAGAGTACTCCCTGCTGCAAGTTAAAATGGTTAGACGACGAATATTTATTTTGCTCATATCCTGCTCGTACTTAAAATAGTTAGACGACGAATATTTAGTTTGCTCATATCCTTTCCCAATATCAGTAAATAGCGCATTAGCCAGTTTTACCAATGTCCCGAGCTTTACCGTGCAAACTAAAAAGATTTGGTCAGCACACCATGAACCCATATGCAGCTTCTAACAAGGGAAGGATGCGGAGTCGCAGTGGCGACCCGCCAAAAGATGTATACCATAAGATTCTCTATCAAAAATGCATCCCAAATTTGTTTCCCATATCTGCTGAACGACATCCTGGGAGGAGCTGCACGCGTTTTTTCCTGCTCAATTTCTTCTAAACGCTTGTCTAGCCGAACTATAGCACGACGTCAAGCGGGTGGATGGGGCAGTGGTAAGTCTCTTGCGCGTAGTCTTTTATATCCGGGTTCGAATTCTGCGAGATCAACTTGTTTTGCATTACTATTTTTTAATTACTGAATGTGCATATAGCAAATTGATACATCTATATCTTCCTTACAAAATATTCTGATTGAATAGTTAGCTGAGCTTGGTAAGTGCTCATCCGTTATTTTATTTCTTATATTTTTTT